ACCATGATGGTATCCAAAAACAAAACATCATATTCACCACACCTTTATCAAATATATCAAAGGCAATAGATAACCAAAATATTACAAACACCATATCCTAGTCAAATATATCAAGGACCAAGATCATGTCCAATACCACACCCTGTATTGTAATAGCTTGTCAAATATATCAAAGACCAAGATCATGTGATTGTCCAATACCACACCCTATATTGTAATAGCTTGTCAAATATATCAAAGACCAAGATCATGTCCAATACCACACCCTTCATTGTAATAGCTTGTCAAATATATCAAAGACCAAGATCATGTCCAATACCACACCCTATATTGTAATATTTAGCTTGTTAAATATATCAAAGACCAAGATCATGTCCAATACCACACCCTATATTGTAATATTTAGCTTGTTAAATATATCAAAGACCAAGATCATGTCCAATACCACACCCTTCATTGTAATAGCTTGTCAAATATCAAAGACCAAGATTATGTCAAATACCACACCCTTCATTGTAATAGCTTATAAATATATCAAAGACCAAGATCATGTCCAATACCACACCCTATATTGTAAAGGCTTGTCAAGTATATCAAAGACCAAGATCATGTCCAATACCACACCCTATATTGTATAGGCTTGTCAAATATATCAAAGACCAAGATCATGTCCAATACCACACCCTATATTGTAATAGCTTGTCAAATATATCAAAGACCAAGATCATGTCCAATACCACACCCTATATTGTAATAGCTTGTCAAATATATCAAAGACCAAGATCATGTCCAATACCACACCCTTCATTGTAATAGCTTGTCAAATATATCAAAGACCAAGATCATGTCCAATACCACACCCTATATTGTAATAGCTCGTCAAATATATCAAAGACCAAGATCATGTCCAATACCACACCCTATATTGTAATATTTAGCTTGTTAAATATATCAAAGACCAAGATCATGTCCAATACCACACCCTATATTGTAATATTTAGCTTGTTAAATATATCAAAGACCAAGATCATGTCAAATACCACACCCTTGATTGTAATAGCTTGTCAAATATATCAAAGACCAAGATCATGTCAAATACCACACCCTTCATTGTAATAGCTTATAAATATATCAAAGACCAAGATCATGTCCAATACCACACCCTATATTGTAAAGGCTTGTCAAGTATATCAAAGACCAAGATCATGTCCAATACCACACCCTATATTGTAATAGCTTGTCAAATATATCAAAGACCAAGATCATGTCCAATACCACACCCTATATTGTATAGGCTTGTCAAGTATAGCAAAGACCAATTTTTCATCAAAAAACATGAAAATATCACAAACAATTTGCAAATTACAACAAAAAATGTCATCCTGAAGTCAGAAAATGTGGAATTTCCATCTTATTCCAGAGTAAAACAAATTTTTATTGTTAAAACTTGACAGTGCACTTCTGCTCACAATAGTTATCAATGTGTTGCACTTACTATCACTATATTTACTAAATTGTTTAAAGAAGCTCTGAAAATTTGTTTGTACCTCAGGATTAAATGGGGGAAAAAAACAACATTTGCCGAGTTCCAAAGTATGTCCATTCAATGACGTTAAAGGACACTGTTATATCTGACCATAGAATACTTGTTAACAAAGACAACCACCCCCTACAATATGTACATGTATATTTGATTCTGTATAAATACAAATAATAAAATTTTAAAATTAGTGCATCAAAATAAGAATCAATAAACTGATAAATTATTTATAGAAATATCAGATTGAATCTAGGTGTGCAACAATATATAGTCTTTACAATTAGATTTTCATACCAAAAAAATCAATACACAAGTGACAGGTACTGTTAGTCTGTTACCATGGTAACTTTAATCACAATTCCTGACATCCTCCAGGGAGTAATGGTTTGATTAGCGACATTTTAGACACCCAGGTGCAATCTGATCAATAAAAGCAACATTTGAAATAATTCAGCAACAAAAACTTTCACAGGTCATCGATAAATAAATATATGTAATACAGTCATGTTAAATATGAATAATATACATGTATGTATGTACATAATATATCAATATAAAATATATGTACTGGGTATGTAATGACATTATACATTTAATATAACATCTTTTTAAAGTAATATGGACTGGGTATAATACTGGTGCAATGCATGATGATTATTATAATTTATGAATCTGTTATCATTACAATTAATGTAATTTATTCATTTGTTTGTACAAAATTGTATAAAATAATATTAATTAAAGGCAAACATATATATATATTTATGTTTGCTTCTGTTACACACAGAATGATGTTAACAATCAGGGAAGATCCAGGTTTTCTGCTTGGTGGGGGAGGCTTTCATAGGTTTTGAAGCTCTCAAGGAATAAGTTCATGAGAGATTTTCTGACACAAGTTAAACTGTGTGTCAATCTGATGATCTATTTGACTGAGATACTGAGATAGCTCGGCATTCAAAAGTTGTAGATGTAGTGTAGTAACAATCAGGGCTCTAGCTATAAAGCTGCTATATCATATGTACAGTTGTACACCATTGTATATTTACAGTAACTCAGTCTCAATTCATTTTAAATACATCATTATTAAAATTATTAAACCTTTCCTTTATACTAACATATTTTATAGTTACAATGATTAAAATAAAGTGAAATATTATACAGAGCACTTCATACTTGAATAATTGAAAACTATTTTACTAAATGACAATAATTTTTCTTGAATCCCTAAGTGGCAAATGTTAAACACATTAAATGTTTAATACATTTAAAGCCAATACCAGGTGCTGTGTCAAGACTTTTCAAAATACCATAATTATGACTGTATGACATACAACATGTAATTTGTTCACATCATGTTTCAGGACTAAGTATCCTTTAAAAGTTCAGGATAAATTTAATATTCAAGTAGAGACAGAGTTTTATGAACATGGTCTACAAAGAAAGTCCTTGCGTGACACGGTCACACCTTCCCATATTCTTAAAGGTGAACACTCATACAGAATTTCATTTCATTACTCTACACACTACAATGTACACAATGATTGGAGCTTTTATGCTAAAAAAAATTCATTTACAAGTACAAATTGCAAAAATATAATTTCAATCACTTTTAGCTTGTAAATGAAAAAGTTTGGAGGCCTTGCACAAAAACAAGAAAAACAAACTTAAATGCAATAATGCAAAAATTAATGCAATAGCTGTATCATTATTGCATTTCTTCCTTTGTATAAAATTCAATTTTGAGAGACACAACTTTCATAACATCCTTCGCAATATCATCTTCAAGTTCAACAATCATTCTGAACTTTCAAATTTGTTTAAAAAAAAATTAAAACAAGAATTCAGAAATATTGACTTTCATGAGAGATTCCGTAGCCAGCCATTCATCAATTTCTTTGATTACAATTTAATTTTAATGATACATGTTGTTACAGAACAGTCAACACAGATTTTCATGTGAATTCTAATCACTGTTTTAGCTTAAAATTTAAGTATTGCTTAAACACTGGGGTCAACTTTGAGCTTCCAAGCATATATCTTTGTATTGAAAAGACTTGAACTACATTTGTATATTAATAATTTTTGAACTATACATTTAGCAAAGGCTATAATTAGTTGTACCCTATTTCATTTTCGTCTTATACAACACTGGGGTCAATTCATGCTCAAATGGTTGATTTATAAGTTTTTGTGGTGAAAGGCAATAAATTGTAAAGCAGAAGTATTATAACATATTTTCTATTGACACAGTCTATATAGTAAACTTCTTTGATGTACTAACACCTAACTTGTGTTATCTATAACTTATCCCCTCAGTAAATTTAATATAATATGATATCACTGCAAATTATGGAGGGTCAGAGACACTAAAATTTGAGAAATAAAAGGGTTTTTTTCCCCTAAATTGTGACCCTTGGGCCTTTATAAGTGCAAGGCTCCTATCAATTACATGATTGTATATTGTAAAAAAGCCCTGAATAGCCACATTTCTCAGTGTAAAAATTCCAGTGAAGTTATAACTTAAGTATCTTTACACCATGCTGGTTTCTATATTTCACTAAAATCTTTATATAATAATTATATATATTTCACAGAATGCAGTTTATCATTAAAATGAGCTAAACTGTATATATGTTTTATAAACAAATTCATGCTACACTGCTAAATGTATTATGAATGAACTATTAATAGTTCACTGCTCAGGTATCGCTATTACCCATAACATAAACCAAGGCATTAATAACAATGGTAAAATTTTGAATATATTTGCATAAAACATACATGTGAACTCTCCCTCTTTTAGAGGGAGACTCACAATTTCTGCAGCCATATTTTCAAAGATTTTTCTTAAAATTAAGGATATTTTCACAACCTATAGAAATCTACCTATTTTTGATGTCAGAACCTTCTTCTTTGTTTATTGCAAATTCTAAAATCTCCCTTTTCGAAGAAAAATCTCCTACTTGATCTTTGAAAAAAGTACATATGTATGATTAAAGTAAAAAAAAAATATAAGGAGATACAAAAATATGTTTTGTAAAATTTAACACAAGTGTTTAAAGAGTACTGTGTTCCTGAATCAAGAGCAAACATTCTAGGGGACATTTTATATTAAACTGCTTACTTTTCATCACTATATGGCTGTTTTTAACTTGAACTACTATTGCATGTAAGTTGGAAGCAGACCTTCAGATGTAAATTATATACACAAGTTGATAAACATGTAGGTTCAGATAAGCAACTCTTTAACTAACCAGAGACTGGGACTTGGGTTACATGTAAATGATGAATATATAAATGCCATTTGTGCCAGTGGTAAACAAGGACTTTTGCCATTAATACTAAAAAATGAAACAAGGATCGTATGTTGTCATGCTTGGCGCTGTTGTCAATAGAAACATATTTTACACATAAGGAATATTATATAAAGATTATTAAATGCCAACCATTATTATATTACCTGGTCCCCTGCTTTTTCTGAGAGTCTGTATCATCCATTGGACCGTTTTGTCCTTCACTACTGGCCATCGATTTCAAAAACTTTCACGATGCAAACTAAATCTCCCCTGTTGCTGTCTTATTATCTGTTGGTAAAGAACATTCATCCACTGTACAGATATAATTTATTGTAATAATTTATATTAAGTGTTAAAAAGGTGTGATTATATTGCTGATATTCCTTTACTGAAACATACTGCAAATGTCTAAACAATACAGGCTTATTGCCGTTTTTTTCTTTAAAATTTCCTAGAATTTATAGATTCCAAGCAATAATCTGTAAAGAGGTCAACACTGTTGTTAGTGTTCAACTCCCGTGACGGAATTTAGCCAGGGTCCACCTGCTCAAATTCACTGAAGTATTTCTCACAATGAAACCCCAACAGAAAACTAGTAAACAGGATGCAAACCTGATGCACGCAACACTATTAATATACCACTTAAATATGTATGATAACAATCACAATAATACGTCAAAATAAACTAGAGACTGGGTCTGTTAAACACAATTTACGTGACATCGCCTTTCCAATCAATTTGCTGTCAAAATTTCCGATTCTCTCACTACACACTCAACTTACTGGCATATTCCTGTACACACACTTAATGTAGAGCAATCATTAAATGTTCTTCATAACACTAGTGTGTTTAAATCCGATATAACAATGGATAGCGTACGCAAAATGCTGTTAAATACAAACAATATTATTTTTCACGCTTCTGAATGACATTTCGCATTGGTCACGTGATCAATAATTTTCATTTCTTGACGTCACGGACATCCATATGAGGATTTCCCCAGATCTATTTTTAGATTCCAGCTGCTGTACAGTACACATTAGGTTAGAGTGTAATAAATTTTGTTCCAATAAAATGGGTGTAAAGTACTAATTTTTTTTTAGTATAAGCTCCCTTTGATATTATATTTGATAAAGGTGATATTTCAAACAGAATCTAAAATGTGGACAATACTAATTAGACAATATTAATTAAGAACTTGGTGGTTTATCAGTCACCAAGGTATTAAAAGACAAATTAAATATTTCCCTATAAAACTTTACATTTAAAGTGCTCCATATTGGACAAAATATCAAAAAGGAAATAAATAATCCTAGTCTATTTGTAGAGAATAGTGGACATACACCATTCCTATCACCATATGAAATTATAATTAGCATGTTTCATAAGGGGTCATACATTATACAGTCTGAAAGATTTTATTTGCAAAGGTACTTTTAGTATTGTGAACATAACCATATTTTTACATTAATTTTTTTTTTTATTTTCTTGTTTACATTTACAAAGTTGTCTTTTTTTTCCTTAAAGCAGCATGCCTCTCGACGAGCCAAACTATTTCAATAAAATCAAACTTGAGAAAAATGTACTAAGATTTTAGGAAAAGTAGAAAGATTCAAGATTCAAGTAATAATTTACAAATTATGAGTGACTAATGGCTAATTTTTCATTAGTTATAACTATATTTATACTGCATTACTAAGGCAGAAAGTGCAGTTTTTGCATATTTTGACCACTTTTTGTAGACATATAGATAACAGACACATTTTAAGCGAAAATAAAATTGGGGTCACCGTTCTCGTTTTTTAGTTATTTGCCCCTGAATCAGAATTTTCTACTTATTTGAGGTCATTTAAAGAGCATATAACTTATACATACATAAATGAATTATTGTTTTACTTCTGGATAATGTTTTTCTTTTTATTGCTGAATACAATACATAATTACATGCAATTCCTTATATCGTTTCTGTTATTTTTTTTCAATGAAAATAAAAGGTACTTAAAATTCATAAAAAATAGGCCAATTTTTAAAAAGAATGCACAGGTAAAGAGAAGAAGTGGGAAAAAAACTATCCACTCTAAATTTGTTCTTGAAATTTTGCATATTGACTAAGACAAAGGTAAGCTTCATGAAAATAAGAAGAAAAAAAAGAAGGTATTTTTCACTTCATTGTAAAATATCTGCCCTTGAATTTAACGAAAAAGTCTAATTCAAGAGCAGATAACTCAAAAATGAGAATTTCCCTGTTATAATGCATATTCTAATAACATGTCATTAAGTTTAAAGAAATTCTATTGAACAGTTTTAATTTTGCCCATATGTCTATATGAAAACTCCGGAAAACGTCTTTAATGTGGGTTGTGTCATTGATAATGTGTAGGTTGGTTTCTTTTGGTTACTATACAATATTATACTTTTAAGTACATTTTCAAAATTTTTATGAAAATAAGCATTAATTTGGAGGCATGCTGCTTTAAGATTTAAAAACTTGTAATTCAACTATTGAATTTCAAGCTGTTTTAAAATGAATTATTGTGGTCATGTAAAATATAGGGGCACTTTTGCACAAGTTTTCTTACTGTGCAGTTGATATATTTTACTATATCTTCATTTTTGTATTTAAACTATTTTTGTAATTCTTGAATGTTGGTTAAGGTCTTGTTTGTACTTTTGATACATTTGGTTTAGTTACAAATGCCTTATTTAAACATGCATGTATATTTAACAAGTACATTGTAATCAAAATGGCTGCTTACATTTCTAATTACATGTATTTGGTAATTGATGCAATAATTATTTACTGTCTTTTATTATAAAATGTTATATAACCATTTACAGTGATAGAGCACAGTAAGAGTCAAGTAATTTAGCAAATGTAGTGTGGTAACAGAACCTAAGAAATATTTGAAATGTAAATATGTTCAGTTTGTTCATTTTTTATTTTAACATGGGATTAAGCTTGACCACAATATAAATTCAAGTGTAACTGTTATAGTTGTCTGAAATCATATGACGTCACAATAAAGTAAAAATTAACTTAAATGTATAATGTCAATTAGCACGAAGAAAACACATCAGTTGCTGTGATCCAGTGGTTAGAGTCCTGGCTGTGACATGCCGATTTTCGTGTGATTTATTATATGAGCCACATCACGACAAAACCAACATAATGGGTTTGCAACCAGCATGAATCCAGACCAGACCAGCCTGCACTGATCAGGATCAATGCTGTTCACCATCAGTTTCTTTACTTGTTATAGGGTCTGTAAGCGAACAGCATGGATCCTGATCAGACTGCGCAGATGCGCAGGCTGGTCTGGATCCATGCTGGTTGCAAACCCATTATGTTGGTTTTGTCGTGACGCGGCTCATATATTATATTTTAATCAATGTATTTGTTATACAGGGATTGTAAAATATATTAAATCAGACTAGGTTGTATTAAACCCTGCTACCATGCTGCTGCAATCTGGGGCCAGTTAGGTTGGCCTTAAGCCCACCTTGTCACATGATTAAGATATATCTTTAATACTGTTAATTTGATTAATTTGATATTGTAACTACTATAAGCTATTTTGCATCAAACATAAAAAAAATTATCTTAATATCAAACATATTGTGGCATCATTATATAATATGGTAAGAACTCCGGGATTAAACCTGAAATATATTTATGTTACTTCTCCTATTTAGAGTGGGTGAATTAAATGGAGAGCTTTCAAGGTGTTTTGTATCATATGTTATTTCTGTTTCTCTTATTGTAATGATGCTATTGTTTAGAAAAATAATCATAAGAAGAATTAAGTGACTAAGCCTCTCTTACTGCTTTGATAATTATTATCTGTAATTATGTGTATGCCTGAAGCAAACTTGTATCTTCCACAAAATTTTATTAAATTCATTCCACTAGGTTATTTTGTAATGTGTTTAATTAATTCAGACAGTGAAACATGCTGCAGGCAACTGTTTCATCTCACGATATCGTAGGAGTTGTATCACGTTTTTAATGCAACCATTTCATTTGAAAATGATGAAATTTACAGAGAATGTAAAGTATATCCGGCTTTAAAGAGGAGTTTAAGTTACAGATAATTCAATTTAAAAATGAATGGAAAAAAAAGTAGACAAATTTATTTTGTGGGATTAAAGATGTTGTGTTAAGTATAGCCTAATTGTTGTCATGGAACATACAGGCTTGTAAAAATTCTGCTGATTTTGCCAATTTGTTTTAAAATGAGCAATTAAGCATTCAAAAGACCAGGAACAGAAAAAAATCTCAGCAATTTACAACTGGATTAGTATAAAATATGATTATATAATTTACAATCACATAATTAATTGCATTATTCTTATTTACTGATAGGTGGGAAACCTTCTGTCACAAACGTACATTTACAGGCTATGTAACCAGATGAGAGAGAGAATCCAGGAAGATCTACATCAATCAATGGTTCAGATTGTAATACCCTGATGCAAGAAGTCAGCTGATTGAAATGTCTAGGACGGGATTTAAACCTACAACTTTGAGAGGAAAATAATTAAATCTGTTGTTGTTTGTCAGATTTAATGCCACACTGACAACTGTTGAAGTCAAAATTATGAAGAACATCCAGCTGTACTGGCATAGGAAGACCTCGATGGTTCCCTATGTATTATTTTAGGCACTGGGAGCATCGGAGTTGAAGCAGCAACTCCTCATAAGCTAGCTAAATAACTTTCTCACATTGATGTTAATTACCTAGTCAAGTTTGAAGTACAGCAATTATGGTGATTCAAAATCAGAACCTTTAACAACTCAACTAGAAGAAATCCAAACTCAGACATAATACATAATTACATGTATAGTATGTCCCTGCTCTAACTGAAAACAGCTTTTTATAGAAATGATATTCCTGATGCAAAGGATGAAGTTTCCATTTTGTGTGTCTGTTATTCAAAAGAAAAAATAGGTTAAAGAAAAGAGAAAAGTAGAGAATTCTTTCATAATTTTTATTTTCATTTCTATTTTTTTTTTAATCTTTTCATTTACAAAAAGACTGGTTATAAACTGTTTTCATGTAAAAAGAAAATGAAAATAGTGTGCTTCATACACAATCACAATTTGAAGACACACAGTACATTATAGAATCACCAAACCTTTGTCTATATAATGATTAATCTACATGAGTTGCATATTTTATGAATATTTACAGCAAACATTCAAAATAGTGTTCATATTCACAGGTCTTTGTTTTATGTAAAGGATACATATATTGTGATATACATGTATTTGTTTTACTGTCTTCTGTTTTCAAGTTAAGACTATTGTACTAAGTTATACTATTCTTGCATTAAGGCAACAAATAACATATTCCCTGAACACATCTGAGCACAACAAGTTATTATAGCAAAAAACACCATATAGTATCAAGCACTCAAAGTGATAAAATGATATTGATACTGCCACCCTTCCAATAATTCCCTTTAAGTTTTTGGTGTAGTTGAATAATGATGTCTAAAATGATTTCTTAAATGGCAAAATATTTATGAAATAGGTATAATTGAGAGACAAATACATTGCCAAAGAAAGTGCAACATAAACAAAGAAATGAAACAAACAATCACACAAAATAATCAACATTTTTTTTCTACTTTTTCAGACAATTTTTGTTCATGGACTGCAATCACCATTTGTTTAAATTTCCATATCAGCTAGCATAAACAGTTAACTTAAGTTTTCAAGTATTTCATAAAATGAAGAACTATTTTAACAAAAACATCCTTTAAATAATAATAAAGTGTTCAAAATTAACAATACGGAAAGTGTACTATACATACAATCAGTATATGTTAAATTATCATCTAATGTCTTCACACCACACTTTGAATGATTCAGAAAATAATATATACATAACATTATAAACAAAAATAACAAATACTTTTTTGAGGTAATAAATGTTCTCAAAATCTATTTAAAAATATTTCATAAAGCTTGTAACACAAATAATAGCATCATACAACCTACATGTTGATGAAAATAATGAAATGTTTTTTGCATCTAATCAAATATTTTCTACTTTATCAGAATTGAAAAATAATAATAAGAGGGTTATTTTTAATTTCTCTTTGTTTTATCAACCTGAAACTTTTTTGGTTTTTCTTTTAATTTCCCTGATCTAAACACTTGCCAGCTTCCAGGCTAAACCTGAACAGGTGTTGAGTCGAGAGTTATGTTTACATCGTAACTTGAGTTTTTATGTTTACATGGATTGAGCGTCAAACAACTGTAATAATAGGTCACAGCATACATATTTTTTTATTTTTTTTTCATGTAAGAAGTATTTAAGTAATTCACAAGTAAGTCACACTAAGCATAAATGCACAAAAACTATTTTTAAAAATTTGCAATCCAAAACAAAAGAGGAATGATAACATATATTTTGTACCAATAAAACAATCTTTTTATAAATTATATATAAACTATAATCTATATTTCATAACAATTTCATAAAAAAAAAGATTTAATGTGAAGAGAAGAAACAAGAGAAAAACTTCTGAAAATATCACTAGTATTTATAGAGAAATGAATTGCTCAAAATATATCAAAATGTTGTCAAATCTAGATCACAGTAACTTTGCACTAAAATGTTTGTCCTTTTTGTATGAAACAAAATTGTTCACAATTGTCCTCTAATTAAAATCCAAGTGGATGTTCCTGAACTGTGCCACCTTTCTTAATAACATCCTCGGAAATCTTAGACATCTGTTCGAAAATTTTCTTGTTTTTGTCGGACACAGCCAATGCTAAATTATCTTGAACCCTGACAGAAGCCTGCAATATACGTCATACAAAATAATAGTTATATATCAAGTGAAACAAGTGGGTAACATATTAGCAAAAAATAATACTGTCTGTAAGAAAATAATCAAATAAGAGAATAAAATGTTAACAAGACCTGCCAGTAGGACAGCACAGGACTATTCTAGGAGTTTGATAATGATGAATATAAAACCTGGAATTATGCTAGGAAACTGTTGCACTTTCTTTATCATTTATAATACTAATTCAAATATTGTATCATTTATACTACTATAATAAATATTGTTTTAGTTTCTTGATGTAGAAAAATAAACAGAACCAACCTGTGAACAGAAAACTTGGCACATTGCTGACTCGGATTCAGAACTGGAGTATTTATTGTTGAGTGACCTTGAAGCACGGGACAACACTGACACCATCCCGTAAATATCTATAGCTGCATCAGCCACTCTATTCAATACCATTTGTTCATCTGTAACATATGAATCAATATCAGAGGATTTACAGTTACTATTTTGCTGATTTTTCAGTGAATGTGAAGTACTATTTTGCTAATTTTTTTTTCAACCATTTACACCTCCCTGCAATCTGATCAAATCTAGTGTAGGACATACAATATTTCCATGTGAACTAGTGGTCAGTCTATCCTAAATATTATACAAGGAAGACATCCTTTAAAACCTTTAAAGCATGTGTCATCAAAAGACCTGGTTAATATTTGACTTATATATACAAAGCACAGATTAGTGAAATAAAGTAAGGATGAAAACATAACTTGTGTTACTATCAAGATAAATTTATCTATTACAAAACCAAAATGACTGTGAGATTATATATTTGTTAACCATGATATATGTTCAGTATACCACTATATTAAATGTATTCTTCAAATTAAACTTAGGACTATGAACATAAAAGAAAGAATTAGTAAATCACAAGTTATGTGTCTCAATTAAAGACTTCAGATACAAATATTTGAATGCCAAATGCTTTGACACTTAAATGCAACACTTCTACTGGAAAATGATTATATAGTTGATAAATCCACAGGAATCTAATTTTTAGAGAATATTGAACATGTATTGCTTTATTACTTAATTCAATAAATTCAGCATTAAATCTACGTGAAAATAATATTCTATTTATCACATATCCAAATAAGGAAAGGTTTTCAGAGAAAAAGAGTCATTTTTCAATGAAGCACCTATAGTGTAATACAAACATTAGCGTGCTTTAATGTTATCTTTCTATATAACGTAAATTACACATGTAAAAAGTGTTATTACACTAGTGTAATATTGTTTTATTAAATGTATTTATTACACTCCTGCACCATGGCTTATGTGATAAATTTATTTATTTGATTAAACTTTTAAATGTATAAAGGTAAAGAAACTTACTCATTATTTTCTTGCCATACTTTATCAATAATTGATCTACAGTGCCGCCAAAATCTTCAATGGCTTTTGATGCCTGAAAATATATATGAATGTCAGTCACTTTCACAACAATTCAAGCAGATTGAACATAAAATTTAATGTCAAAGATTTCTCAATAAGGCATTTTGTAAAAAGCTGCAGTCTTGATTTAATTACAACTATTCTTTGACAGTTCTCCAAACTTCTATTACAAGTCAAATTTAGTCAAATATACATAAGGAATATAATTACAATCAAACACATAAAAGGATTAAATTGGAAAGCTGCAAGCTCTTTTAGAAACTTCCTTTAAACAAAGTGTTATGTTATACAGGTAACTAAGAAAGTCACCATTGCAGCCAGTGGTCTGATAATTACAAATCAGTAGAAAATAAAATTCTGTATTTGTTTTTCACTGAGGAATTATACTTTTATTTTCTTATAAAAATGTACATTTTTCAAATTAAAAATCCTAATAATTTCTCAAGTCAATATTCATTACTTGAATCAATTTGATTTCAGTACATACATGTATAATCCTTTAAAGTTACTGATGATAAAAAGCAGAGATTCACGTAGACAAACAGCAACTTTTCTTGTTGTGGACTATAGATTTTCCAAATAAATAGCCATTATTTTCACAAGTTAAGCCAGAAAGTCAAAATAACTTTAACAGAGATAAAAACTTAAAATCCAATCATACCTGATATAAACTAGTTATAAAAAATTCATGCCTCTCTCTAAAACTTACCAGTTTTGCAGACGAGCCGAGATCAGCGTGAACTGATGGGTCAGAATGTAAAGACACTGATCCTGTGCTTCCACCCATTTTCCTGAAATATTTAAAACATTGACATTATGTCAACAAGAAGATCCAACTATGATTACAATCAATAACTAATGGATAAATAAAGTATATCACAAAGAAGGTAATCTGAAATTGCTTGTGACCATTCAAGAGTGATATAACAAAAGTGTTCACATACTGTGAACCAGTTCTTATATTGCAACTAAATAAACTTGTAAACTAAACAAGCTAACAATGCATCATAAAGCAAGTCTGTGATTTCTGAGATGGTTTAAATGTAGGACTATCTGAAATGATTCTAATTGTAAAGATTCTTTTTATCACATGAAACAACAATATTTTCACTTTTAAAATGACGTCACACATTTACTTAACATAAACATGATTATGTTGTGTCATTTTACTTTAAACATGTATATTAAGAGATTAATACATAGCAGAGTTAGGACTAGAAGGTAATAATCAGCCAGCAAAATGAATAATGGCTCTGAGGGCATTATTCATTTCAGGGCCGATTATCACTTTCCAACTTGTCTATGACATGTATTTATGCCTTTCATACACTAGATCAATCTAATAGAAGCATTTTTAAACAAGTAGCTTTGTTCATTGAAATTCCTTCTCTGTAGATTTAGAACTACTGTACTATACAGTTACTTCTACAGAGTTGCTTCCCTTACGGTAAAGAAAGTCCACTAGAATGAAGAACAAAGTTTTATTTTCTCGGAATAAAATTGTTGTATTTTTTTCTTTATATTTCAATATCAAAAACTGTGTATGTAGAAATTACTAATAAGTTCTCATCATAAAATCAAGCGATTCATGCTTAAACCTACTTTCACTTTTACAACTATATATTTTGATGACGTAAAATGTGACCTCATTTTTTCAGTTTGTGCACATGGGCCAATTATGAGTTTTCTGCCCAAGGCTGTTAAGTCATAATTGGTCATGTGACACTCATAAGCGGTTAAAATCACAGGCAATTTGTTACTATATATAGTAACAATTGTAATATAAAGAAATATGTTACAGTTATAATTATACACAAGCAAAAGAATGTGACAAACATGTAATTTTATCTTAACATGCACTCATGAAACCACAAACATACATCTCAAATAAAACCAAACATATTGAAAACTTAAGATTGTAACTATCTACACCCCTTGTGAAGTAGAATCTGACAATGTTTTTGAACAATCAGTCTTGTGTTACCATACCTCACTGCCATTTTAGAAGCAAAGCTTGCCACTGTTCCGATGTTAGCCATTGGGTTTTTCATGGCTTTTTGAACCTCCTTTAAGTGAGCACCGGCATACTGCATACCAGTGAGTGCAATAAACAGACGAAGAATGTCATTGGTTCCCTCAAAGATACGGAAAATTCTCAAATCTCTCATTACCCTCTCAATTCCGCAGTCCTGAAATAGCAAAGAAATCAAAATGAACACACAATCACAGTTGTGGTTATATCGACTTCCCAGCTTTGTAGGGAAAAGAAAACCTCAAGTGCCAATCTTCTGGGAAATTCTGGATTAAGTAATGCCATGAAAGAAATTTGAATACATAGTAAGTAGTTGTTGGTGATCCTAATTTTTCTACCTTATCAATGATGATTCAGACTGGATACTTCAATTACAAGACAGTGTTATGATAATTAATTTACAGGCAGTGTCAAAATAATAGATTACATGACATTATCACAATATCTTATCAATAAATGGTTTCACAATATCTAATTTACAAACTGTGTTCAATTTTTTAATCAACAAACTGTGTTAAATTATTTAATTAACAAATGGTGTCAGAATATTTCATTAACAGACTGTGTCAGAATAGTAAATCAATAGAGCAAAAATATTGTGATTCTCAGACTGTCTTCACAACATTTGATTCATTAGACTTTAATATGTTACTTTATAAACAGACTATGTTTCAGTAAATACTTACTATCTAAACTGTGGTATAATATAAATTTACAAGACTTCTAATATACAATCACTAGACTGTGTTTCAATGCACAAGTACCAGTCAGTGTTGTTTTCATTTTGGTAATATATAACACATCATCACAAGACTGTAACATATCTTACCCTCATGTATCCCATTCCACCAAGGATCTGAATAGCTTCATCTGCACAAAACCAGGCACCCTCCTACAATAAAATAAATAATTATCTCTTTAATCCAACATAACAAAGTATAAACAGTACAAGAAACATTTTAACTGTTACAAATATTACTAATTCATACTGAAGAATTCTTAAACTTGATTTTTTATTCTTGAAAGAGTATCTAACCATTCCACAGGAATACCTCCTTTGAAGACAATGCTTAAAGGACTATACAGAACTGATGATCAATTAGGAATGGAAAAAACCCACAAAAGTCCTTGAAATAATGCCACCCCCTCCCCCAAATCATTGTCTTAAAATAATTTATATAAGTGCTCTTTCATGAACATTATATCAACACCAACAAAGTCATATGGTTAGTTTCAAGCTTTTAATGGTGGGAGAACACCACGCCTTAACCATTATAATATGAAATAGACAGTCACATAAATTGAAAAACAATCTTTCGTTCTCTTACAGTGTAGTGTCTACATCCCCACAAAGTAAAATAAAACCAAACAACATCCATCATTTGCTTTAAAGTCCTGACAAAAGAGTAATCCAATCTTGGACACTAATTTCAGCCAATCAGATGGCATTTTGACCTATAAGCAATCACTGCACTTAAATCATTCATAGATTTTCATAGTCATTTTTTTAACACATTTTTAGTTTAGTTTATACAAAATCTTAGTTTGCTTGTGTTGGAAGCTATACACTAAATGAAACACTCTCAAATCCATTCCTGGAACAAACCAGTACTAAGTAATCACTGTAAAGTTTCTTGCTCATGGAAACAATGACTTGCCCTTGACAGGATTTGAAACCGAGCGGTCAGCAATCCTCAGTTTACTAGACCAATGCATTTACCATTCAGCCACACTGCCAATTCACATTTTTAGAAACTTTGAATGTTTCTGCCTTAGAACAAGTGACTAAATATGTTGTCACCAATTGCTGACGATACTAAAAACACTTACAGATGCATAAATCTTTCCAATAGCAGCCTCAATCTGAAAGTCTTTAAAACCTTGGTCCATATTAGCAGAGATCATGTATGCCATAGACTGAAAATGATAAAATATCTATATTATATCATGACAAACTTTTTTTATTTTCAACAAAACATCATGATGTTACTGAAGTTAGTTGATATCATTTTCAAATTCAATGGGTATTTAGCATGTTTCAGTAAAATATGACTTATTTAACCATTCTATTACTATTTTTTATCACCAATGAATACCATCACAACCACATTCTATTCAATTGTTTGTTTATTTTCAAAGATAATTTTTTGAAGCATATACTTTTGTATTAATATATATTATCTATATTTTTTATTATTGTAAATGCCTCAGACATACTTATATCACACTATTTTATCACTTGTAGTTTAAGTATTTTAGGCACTCAATTTTCATAAATATAAACCTTAATCTGTTTGGGCATGTATACAGTATGTCATAAAATAATTCATTTAAGAGCATAGTCTTTTTAATCAAAGATAACATGCAAACCAAATTAGAACTAATTGTTACCTCAGCAACATAATGTTTAATTGCCATCTGTGAGATTTTTTCCTGAATAGTTCCAAAGGTGTGGATATTGCTGCCAAACTGTACCCTTGATGATGCATGGTCTACGGCTTTCTGTATACAATACTTCATGGTCCCAGATAGAGCAGCTACCATACCAAATCTTCCATTGTTTAAGATGTTCATAGCAACCTTAAATCCTCCACCTTCCCCTATAATTCATGTATTGCTACCAATAAGCACTATCCATACTGTCTTGGAAAATTTTATGACTTGAACAGTAAAATGGTCAAGTGGATGAAGTGTATTGAAACTCAATGACTACATTTGTGTGAGAAAGCCTTCAAGTTTTGTGGTACTACAATGTATTAACCTGTTTTTGTTTGATATAATACTGCATGGATGAGCGACTGAATCTATTATTCACCTAGAACACTGGCCATCATTATTTAACCATAAAAGAATAAGAATAAACCACTGTGGGTTTAAATCCTATATAGAAAACTAGAAGCAAAGAAGCTATCAAACTAGCTTGTAAAATATTAAGGTTATAGCCTGATGCAGCCTTAAATAATGCACAGAGAGGCACCCTTGATATTCCTTCATAAAGAAAAGGCTCCTTCCTTACAGCAGATAATATATCAAAATTCTAAAATCAGCCAAAATCATTAACAACAAATATATTATACCTCCAAGTACATTTTCCACTGGTATTTTTACATCTTCAAAATACACCTCAGCAGTGTTTGAACATTTAATACCCATCTTCTTCTCTGGAGGGCCACTGAAATATGAAACATACATCAATAGAAGCTATAGAATAACAGAGTGAACAGTGGTACATTGTATATTTATCAACTTTGTTGGACAACTGATATATTTTATATATTAGACACTTTAATACATGTTTAGCACTGGTAAACAATATATTGACATTAACTAATCTTTTTGACTACAGTAAGCATTTCTGCCTTCACAAAAAATTAAAGACCTAAGAAAGCCATTTCAGTGTCTAAAACTTTGAAAAGGGCCTTTTTAAAAGTAATAATTAAGATTGGGTGAAGTTTTAATATCAAGTTTTTGTCCAATTTGTTTTGGTAAATTCCTGGGATAGAGGTTTATATGAAGATAATGATGTAGGTATATCCTCCTCATACTTACTTTGTAACACCACCAAAACTTCTCTCCACAATAAATGCTGTCACTTTGTCCTTCGTCTCACCAGTCTTTTCATCTTTAACTGGTGTCTGTTATAAATAATAATAATTCTCATAAACTTCCTATCTCTTAAAAATTATAATTTTTTGTGTGTGTTAAAGTTCTGTATTCAGTGAAACTTTTAGCTGCTTCTAAATTCATAAAATGAGAAAAGAAGAGATGGCAATGAGGCAATTATTTTCCCCTAGTTGCATGCATGTTGCAGAGAAAGCACAGGGCATCATCAGAAGATTTGAAGAACTTGTTATGGCAATAACCAAACAAAGACAAGAACTTGTATCTGCAGACCACCTGCTGATGTCCTGACTAATGCTCAGGGGAATGCCACAAAAAGTAGGAAGAGACATTGAGGAAAGTGTGCTAGGGTGTGTTAGCTTCTAGCCATTAAGTGATGGCTTAAAAGGCAGGCCCATAGCTTGGCACCAACAGTCCTTCTAAGAACTACCTCCTTTTCATATTTTCTCACGTTACTGTACATTTTGATTCATAATGGCCATACAGTGACCTACTTTTAAGTCAAAATTCATATATTTGGCTTAATACTTAGTGGAAATGGCATGCATAAAAAATTGTCACCACTTTGTGCTTCAAAATTAACCCTTTAAGGGCACTGGCCACATGTCCGGGGTCCGTACTTAATGAACGGATGGACCCTCATTAAACATAGAATACATGCATAAAAAGATGGCAATGTGGTAAAGGTGTCTGCATCTCAAACCAGAGATTTTGGGTTCAAGCCGTACTGGGTTCTAGAAATGTCTTTTCGGTTATGCACAGGAAGCAGCCACAAGGGACTAGTTCAAATACGTTACAGGCTTTCTCCCCAAATGTGCTTAAAATATAATGTTGAATCTAAATTAACAACAGAAATTGAGACTTAAGTTATGAAAACCCCATTTACCTGAGCAAAGACAGTAAATATCTCAGCCAAGCCTCCGTTACTGATCCAAATTTTGCTTCCATTTAGAATGTAATGTTTACCATCACCCGATAATACTGCTCTTGTTTTAATTGACTGAAATAAAAATAAACAAAATAACTCACATCACTGAGTTTACTTTGGTGATTTCGTAAAATTTCAAAGGCATAAAAGATACATTGTATGACAACTTATGTCAACTTAAAATAAAGATAAGTTGTATATTCAGCACAGGAGACCAAACCACAACCTTATTTACGTATTATAGGCATTTTGATGCAATATTATTTTTTAACCTATTCATGGTATGATAAGGCATTTATTTCACTAGTTTGGGTTCAAATAATTATGGGCCAAAATCCCTTCAACGTTCAAAATCTTGTCTTCTATTAACACCCGCCTTTCCTAAAAAATATCCTTCCAAAATTGTTGTGGAGCGTTAAAAAAAATTAACCAAGAACAAAAGCATACGCAAATTAGACATTATAGATTATCAATTTAAATTTCAGAATAGATGTAAATAACTAACAAGTCGGTAATAAATATTGTTTAATACCAGAGTGAGGATTTCTCCATCTAACCTCTATACTAACTAAATTTGACTTCACACATATTATGAAAATGTTAGTGAACTTCTGCATTTAGCCTTGTATTCATGTTAAATTTTGCTATAAAATGGATATACATATCTAGTCCTACTATTATATAAATTTTGCTACATCATGTATATATGTATGATAACTTACACTAGCATCTGATCCACTTGCAGGTTCAGTAAGACAGAAGGCAGCAATATTCTCACCTGCGGCAAGTTTAGGCAAGTATTTTTTCTTTTGCTCTGGATTACCAAACAAAAGAATTCCCTTAAACCCTATAGACTGAAAAAAGAATAAGAATATTGAACCATATACAAACTTTGAACCTTACAAAAACATTAAACATGTATAAAAGATTACTGGAGATTCAGATAGTTTAAGGCACATTTAGTTCAAATTAGCTAAACTGAAGTATGTTGTAAATTTTCACGAGATACAGTGCATTATTGAAAACAAACACAATGTTATTTTGATAAAGAAAGTAATGAGTCTGTGGACCAGCAGAATTTTTGTTTCTACTTGTCCCTGGATAACCATTAATTTCTGACCTGATGTGCTCCAAGTACTATTCCAACACCTAAATCATGAGCCCCTACAATCTCTACAAGCCTCGCATACTGTGTGTTTGTTAAACCAACTCCATCTATAAAGATACAATGGATTATTGTATTCTTAGTTGATTATCTATGATTTATACACCAATTATAGCGTGCAAATTTATATCTACATGTACATCATTTTTCATATTACACGTATTTGTCATTTACCAATTAATATAATAATTTCAAAACTTAATTGACAATAATGGTAGACAAAAGTTATAGTGCACAATATTGTGTTTTTTTTTAAGTATGTTTTAGATTTATTTACCAAGTTCAGTTGGAACCTGAAGTCCAAATGCACCAAGGGCTTTAAGTCCTTCCATTGTTCCCTCCTCAACTTTTTCAAGAAGATCATTCTTTGATGAATCATTTGTTTCCTTCAATAAACATACATGATATATGAGCATTATTGACATACAAGAACACTTCATTGTAAATTTGTAATGTAGCATCACTTCTTAAAATGCCGAATTTCACCTCCTATATAAGTAACCCTTGAAGTTCATAGATTAACTAGAAATGTGTCCATAAGACACATAAGCCCCCACATTCCACTGTTTTGTCAGTGGGTGGACAGACAAGGGAAATCTATATGCCCTCACTTCAATAGCTTATGAAAAATAAACATACCAAATTTAATGTTAACAGTTATGTAGATTTAAGTTAAATAGTCTACTGTAAAATCATTATTATTCGTGGGGCACGAATTTTCGTGGTTTTCGTGGGTAGGTCAATCCACGAATTTAAGATCCGACGAAATTTTATCCCAACAAATACTTCTTACCCTGTCTCTGTTCTATATATTACAAACATGCGTCGGTTCTTTTCCGGCCGATTTTCGTGAAATGGATGTATATACATACAGTACAGATAACCAGGTTAGTGACAGATTAAATCCGTTTGCAATATTTAAGAAACTTGAAAGAAAACTCAATTTTATGTCCTCAATTTACTGTCTCAAATGTCGGTCGCGTATTCACACCTGATCGTTGTTAGAATATTTGACATAATCGAGTAAATATGGGAACCCAGGCAATCTAACAATTAGCGCTTATAAAAAATTTCAGTTAGCACTTATTAATTAAAGAAAAGTCTTTGATATTAATGTCGTAAGAACACAAAACTATAAAAAAAAAATGTGTTAATTGCAGCCAGTTATCGGCAGTAACTGTGCTATATTAGAGTTATGCCCAGAGGCAAAGATTAAATTTATTGACAAGCGTTGTGTGACACATAAAGATATGTACATGCTGTAAGTAAAAATGTTCCGAGATTAAGTTAAAAATTACTTTGCATTAGGTTACTAAATTTTTTTACAAGAAAATGAAAATCCACGAATTTAAGAACCCACGAAAATGCCCGTTTTGATAAAACCATGAAATTTCATGCCCACGAATATAAGTGAATTCGCAGTATTTTAAATATTTGTAGTTTAACAACTGTTACTATTACAAACATGAGATAAAGAAGTGTCACAATTCTACAGTAAACATATGTATATTTAAGATGGGAAAATTGAATATTTCAGAAATTATTCTGCCAATGTAGCTCTTTAACTTCAGCCTTCACATGTCTAAAATATATCTTCACTTTATTTAATTGTCTGCCTGAGTGTTACATAAAAATTCAAATCTTAAAAATTTTGTAAGTTCATTTTTGTAATAACTGCACCCACTCTTATAAATGTTCCACATACATGCATTTTAGATAAGCAATGTAATAATAAGGAATACATAATACTTAGAGAATTACATGTTAAATTTTCCCAGCAAAAGATGATGAATTTCAAGTGTTACTTAAGGTTTTCATTAAAACCAAGCAAAAAGTTATTGATTTAAATTGACCATCCAACTCCTGACACAATAACCCAGTTTCCTTTGTTATGTTGTAAGTAATAGTAAAAATAATAGTGAACTTTTACTTTTGTTGAAGAAGTTCTCTCAAGTCTTTCTGTACATTAATATAAGTACAGGTAGTGAAGACTATTTTCACAAGGCAACTATGAACAGAATGATTAAAGTTTCTTAATACATGTATGTGTACTTTAAAGACAACATAGTTGCAACATGATGGGAGTAATAGAATAAATACTTTTGGCCCAACAAATATTACCTCGAAGAATTTTGCTGTTTGATCAACAAACATCTGCAGGTTCTCCTTCTGTTCTTCATTTAGAACTGAAAAAAAAAGACAACAAATATCTGTGTAATAACTAGTGAAGAATGTATTATATACAATTTATGAATAACTAACATTACAATTTGTATTTAAAGACTTGCCATGTTTTTGTGTTTAGTTTATGTAGTTAAATCTTTAGCCTGCTGGCTGTGACAGAATCTACACATGTGACCAGTGTAGACCTAGATCAGCTAGTACATCCATTTTTAACAACAACTATTTGATATTCAGCCATACATATTTTGAAATATATTACCAGCATTTTAAAGAACTAAAGAACAACTATTGACAACATATCTACACAATGCCACTAATAATGTTTTAACCATGATTTTACCTTGTGGGAAAGGGAGAACCTGCTCTGCTTTGCCTTGACCTCTAAACAGATTCAAACCAAAGGACTGAAATAGAAACTAAGAATGCAATATTAACTGTTCATAACACTTATTATGTATATATTTAAGAGTTATACTTTAAATAAAACAGGTTTTTTTCAGTTTGGTTTTATGTTGCACCAACACAGTATAGGTCATATAGCAGCTTTACTGGTGGAAGAAGACCTCAGGTGCCCTTTCATGCATTCCTTCAGACACACACGGGCACCTGAGTAGAACCACCAATGTTTCATAGCTAGCTGTAAGCTAAAAATATATTCCATTAGCTAGTTTGATAGCTTACTCACATGAAAGAATCCAAAGGAATTTGAACAAGCAAAAGGTTTGTTAATGTTAAAACATTTTGTTATGTATAAAAACACACAGATTGGTAATGATGTACTAAAGAGTCTTATTTATCATTTACCAAACTGAAAACTGTTTTTTATACACTGTAATAGTAAAAGCTAATATGTACAAAAATGGTAATAGAGAGATGAATAAATACTGCAGAAGTCACTTCCCTAAGTTTGATAAAATGGTCCATTGATAATATAAAACATAAGGAAATGCATGCATCATACCTTAGATTCCTCACTCACATTTCTGGTCTGAGAAACAGCCAAACATTCTTGCCTGAAAAACAAATAATCACACATTAATTGTAAAGAGACAAAATATACATTAAAAAATCACCTCATTTGATATAATCAATTGGTGGATATATCATTTTTATTTTTGGTTTGTTTAATGATATTTTTTATTAAAGTAATCTTAGCTTTTATTGCTTTATTGTTGAAGTTACTAAACAACAACTTTCACTAGTATTTAGTTACTGCTGGTAGGAACAAATCTCATAGATGAGTTCAGAGTTCATATCCGAAAGAGGATGCACTACACCTTATATTAAGTTTTTTAATTAAAAGTCTTAAGACACAATCTTTTGTGTTATCCCACACATGGTAGTTTGAGAATTTTTAAAATAAAATGTCATCAAAACAAAATTTCACCACAAGCTGATACATTTATACGGAACTAGATGATTAATACTGATGTCTGAAACTGCAAATTTTACTTCTTTGAATATCTAAACATTCTAAGAACTGTAAACAAATATGTTGATGTTATAGACCCATTCTGTGTGAGAGACTAGCTTTATCTGTTACAGGAACTTGACAACAGATTTTATTTAATCATATTAGTAGCTTTAGGTTTTCTTACCTAAAGTAAAGAATGATTGGTTTATTTGTTGATGAACAAAGTTAAAGGTAAACTACTTATCTCCCCTTATTACAGTACATATATAACAGCTCATATATCGAATTTGTCACTTTTTTTATCATTATGTTATCAATAACATTTTATCATCACAACAAGCAGCTGTTTTAACAAGAGCTGTCCGTAAGACAGCGCGCTCGACTTTTTTATTGCTTGCCAATAAAAAAAGTTTTTGCAGTAAAAGGCAATACAAGAATCTCTGTATTTTTAAAGTGAACAATGGCCATGAGCATTAAGATATTTAGTGAAGAATTATTTTACTGAATTGTGTGATACCCTTGAACACTGCTTGCCTATAATACAAAACATTGACAGTTAAGGGCCATAATTCAAATAAAATCTTTGACAGAATTACCTTCTCCTGGACATGTTTGGGAATCATGATTGTAAACAAGTATTCCAACTTTCAAATTAATATCTCAAACAGTTCAGTCAAAAAGTGGACTGGTACTAAAAACTTAACCAAGATTCTAAGTCGATAAAAGGCCTTAATTTTTAAAACAAATCCTTGACAGAGTTACCTTCTCTCTTGCGTACAGATGGGGGTAATGATGTGAAATAGCATTAAAAGTTTCAAAGCAATATCTCAAAGGGTTAAGGCAATAAGTGGATTTTACCCATATTCAATGTATTTTCTAAGTCAAAAAGGGGCATAATTCTGTCAAAAAAACCTTGACAGAGTTATGTCCTCTTGTCTGTTGATGAAGGTCGTGATGGTAAACAAGTATGGTCAGTTTCAAAGCAATACCTCCAATGGTTTTGAAATAAAGTGAGGTGGTACAAAAAAACTTAACCAAGCTCAATACACTTTCTAAGTCAAAAAAGGGCCATAATTCTGTCAAAAACCTTGACAGAGTTATGTACTCTTGTCTGTAGATGGAGGTTATGATGGTGAACAAGTATGGTAAGTTTCAAAGCCATACTTGTAATACTTCTGAAATAAAGTGGGGTGGTACGAAAAACTTAACCAAGGTGTGACGCCAACGCCAACGCCAACGCCGGGGCGAGTAGGATAGCTCCCCTTTTCATAGAAAAGTCGAGCTAAAAATGCACTGATAACATTTATCATATTAGATAAGATTAACTGGCTATCTATAAAGTTGGACAGGCATTACATAATCATTATGTAAAAACAATTTAATGTTAAATTCTATCCATGAAGTATTTTGCAAAATTGCATGCATAATATTAATATATGCATAATAATGATAATATTATATATAACATTTAATACTACCAATAGACTTTTAATAAAATATCTATTTTTGTGTGTTCTGTTTATTGCAAACTTGGTACATGTATTAATGAAAACATAGCTGAAATAGAAAAAAGTACAGATAAACAAGCATTTGATAGTATTGCGGGCAATACAGTAGTCCCCTACCGGTCCCTCAAAAAGTTCTTTAATTGTCATACACTCCTGTGTATTGCCATTTATAATGAATTTGAGGATGAAGTCTGTATTTGAAAATATCAACCACAAAACATAATAAAATAAGTTTGTCTATATCACAGTAATGTGTTAAGTTTCCATGCTTAGTAAGGAAATTATGTTTATACAACCTTGTCATATTATTACGATGTGGGATTTTAAAGTAAATCCTATAAGGAATGAAGAAGTTGGAGTGAAAATACCAGTTTCTCGAAAAAAATCTAAGTTCAAGGGGGACATAATTCTGGAAATAGTCTTGCTAGAGTATTTAACCTTCTCAAAAATGTCGAGTGATAATAAGAAACATATATATGAAGTTAAAAGTAGATACATTAGGAAATAAAGAAGTTATTTAAAAAAGACAACATTTTTTCCCCTAAAAAATCTAAGTTCAAGGGAGGTAATACTGATATTTTTTGTGCTAGAGTTATAAACCTTGTCACATATGATGTGGTTGATGACCAGAAACTTATATTTAAGTTTGAAGTAAACACCTTAAGAAATAAAGAACTTATAGTGAAAAAGCTGAAAAATTTAAATCAGAAATCTTGAAATTCAGGCTATTTGTTGCCATAGCAACCAGAATTTTCAACATAGGAAGAAAAGAAAAAGATGTGCATAATCTCCAGACTGCCATCTACCCATATTTCAAGTTTCATAAAAATATTTTCAAGGCTTTTTTGAGTTATCACTGGATCCAGTTTATGTGTTAAATTTGCCATATTTTTAGACTATTTGTTGCCATAGCAACCAGAATTTTCAACATAGGAAGAAAAAAAAAAGACGTGCATAATCTCCATACTGCCATCTATCCATATATCAAGTTTCATAAAAATATTTTCAGTACTTTTTGCGTTATCGCGGGATCCAGTTTTGTGGACGGACGGACTGACTGACGGACTGACAGACAGACGGACAGACAGACGGACAGACGGATGGAGGGTAAACCTAAAGTCCCCTCCGGTTAAACCGGTAGGGGACTAATAATATATTTCTTTATTTCCTCCAGTTTTGAAGAGTACATACATATACAATACATTTCTTACAAAAAAGTACATAAATCATTACATGTACATAAATGTATGACTGACAAACATATAAATACATGTATAATTATATAAATGTAACAAATATTGAATAAACACAGAATTGATAAATAATATAAATAAGGTAAATAATTTTTAACATAGAAACAATATATACATATGAGGAAGCAAACGAAAATTTTGAAATATTGTTTTCAGCAATGTATCCTCTTGCTAAAGATTCTTATTTAAGCGAAACAAAAGTATCTTTGGAGGATATACAATATAGATGTGCCTGTAACAATGGTTAATGTAACAAATATTGAATAAACACACAATTGATAAATGATATAAATAAGGTAAATAATTATTTAACATAGAAACAATATATACATATGAGGAAGCAAACGAAAATTTTGAAATATTGTATTCAGCAATATATCCTCTTGCTAAAGATTCTTATCGAAACGAAACAAAAGTATCTTGGGAGGATATACAATATAGAGGTACCTATAACAATGGTTAATACATGTACTTATAACGCAATTAAACAAATACATATATATTTCACATTCACAGCCAGTTCATCGAATATACACATTTGATGAAAGCTTTGAAACTATACACTCTAGTCTCGTCGCTAAGATAAAAAGATGTAAAACCACGAAACATTTCAATGACCTGCAGGTCAGGGGAAAGTGCAATTAGGTTTTGAAAAGTTTCTATGCCCATAATTTTTGATAATGTAACCCATAACTTTGCCCTCTTTGACTCATTTGAGGGGCAAAACAATAGAATATGTTTACATATATCATTAAATTGTCATTAGGTTACAACTTTTGCATCTCATATCATATTTCCTAGAAAAATATCGGCACATTAGAATAAACGTTGATGTACACTCTGCCTGCAGGTTTCTATAACTGCGACTGAAGTGCCAAAGAATACATGGTTCAAAAACAGGATGAACAAGGAGGAATTGTTTCAAACTTTGATCGCATAGTACACGTTTTTTCCAATCAAACTCTATAGAGCTATTGATTGTCGATTTGACCATTCTTTTCCAGGTACTAAGATTTGGGAATACCCCTGTATTATAAAAGGTTATAAGGAAGCTTGTAAGGTTGTATTTACCTAGGATCATGTAAATATCTGGTAAGAATCCCTTTGTTTTCCTTGGGAAAAGCATAAATGACAATAACCTATGTACAAAAACTTCTTTTATTCGAAATTTAGTGTCTAACTGGCAGAGCTGGCCAAATAATAACAGTTTTCGTTTATCTATCAAATTGGCCATTGGTTGTATACTGATACAGCTCAGGGCTATATCGGTCCTTGTATTTACTGGTATTGACTGAATACGTTTTATACATTGGTTATGTAGTTTAATAAGGGGCTGTAACTGTGTCTCAGTAACTCCCGACCATAGCTCGCTTCCATACAGAGCCTTAGGTAGCACAACTGACTCATAGATTTTTTTGCATGTAAGAGGATGGAGGCCATTTCTGTAAATACCACAATCCACGATACTAAAAAACGTTTTCCGAAGTTTATCACAGCTTATAGAGGTATTCACATCTATATCTAGAGTGTTGTTACATTGGACGCCTAAATGAAGGTAGCTATCCGTTTCGTTTATGGTTTTGTCTCCTAAAGTCCAGGTGCGAGGTCTTGATTTAACATCGTTGAACACTATTGTATTACATTTTTGGGCATTATATCGATATCTTTCATTTATGGAGTTCCTATAACATATGTCCATCAGAGTATCTAGACCGCGCTTTGTATTTGAAATAATAACCATGTCATCGGCGGAAGTTGGGCATCCACATTTTAAAGTACCTAATTTGAAGCAATGTTGACTACTGTCCACTTCTTCCATTAAGCTACTTATGAATATGAGATAGAGAAATGGACTGAGACATTGGCCTTGACGGGTTCCTTGCAAAATGGGGAACCAGTCTGACGTGTAACCTTGTGATTTCACGCAGCTATAGCAGTTTTCGAAAAATGACAAAATCACTTTAAATAGTGAAATATCAATACCCATTTTAAACAATTTAACCAGAAGTAATGATACCCAAGTGCGGTCGAATGCCTGTTTAGCATCAAGAAAACAAGCATATACTGGGGAATGGTTTTCAAGACCATAGTATACACATTCTCTTAGCATAAAAGATGTCATTATACAATTTACATGTTTTTGAAAGCCACCTTGTGATGCATTTAAATTGACATTCCCATCCTTTTCAAGAAGTTCTAATATAACCTTTTCAAAAAGTTTTAATATCAACGAGCATAGAGAGATTGCTCGGTAGTTATTTGGATCTGATTTCTTTTTACTCCCGCCCTTGAAAAGGGTGAAAATTATACCTTTTTTCATTTCTAACGGAGTATGTGAAAACCTAAGCATGCTATTGAACAATTTTGCGATTACGTCAATAAGAAGTGGTCCGCCATGCATGACATTTTCATAATGAATTGAATCATTGCCACAAGCTTTGCGTTTTTTGCATGTTTGCAAAGCTTTCCTTATCATTTCAGAAGTAATGTTGAAAGTAGTGTCATTTGAGCTTTCACAAAGCTTTTTAATATCGATAAGCTCATTTTCAACTTTTGACAAATAGCTTTTATTAAAACTTGAGTTTTCATCAGGTGAGTATAGCTCACTAAAATAAGTTCTCCACTCAGTGTTTATTTTTTGCGGATCGCTGTATATCGTACCGTTAAAGCACATTTCAAATCCAGGGTTTAAGGGTTTTTATTTCGCTGGCGATTAATAAGACGCCAAAACTCGTTGTTATCGCACTCTGCGGCCGTATCAATTTCCGCTTCCTGTTCCTGCAAAAATGACGCTGCAGCGTCACGATGTGCGCATCTAAACTTAGTTTTGAGCGATTTGTATTCTTTAAAAGATATTGAATTTTCCGTTCTAGGTTTTCCCGCGCGTATCCAGTTATTTCGCTTTAATTTCATATCTTTGTGTAATGATGATAGCGTAGTATTCCAGTATGGTTTTATGTATGACTTAAATTTAACCTTTGGTATAAACAAATCTGTTGCAAGATTCACAATTGTAACAATACCAGCGTAAAGATCATCTATATCATTTTTATTATGTATAGGAAAATCTTGTGCATAACGCAGAACGTCGCAATTTTCTAAAAAATCTACATACTGGTTAACCTGGTCTTGTTTAACATTATGCCAGTTTATGATTTTACGGTCGCATGTTTGAGCATCCGAGAAGTTTGGCCTACCATCGTACTCAATGTTAAGTGTGCAAATGATTGGACGGTGTGTCGATACGTTAAGCGCGTTGTCGTCAACAATTTGACAGTCTTTGACATATTGTACGTATGAATCTGGTAAGACTACATAATCTATCAAAGTTTCTCTGTTACTGTTATATGGAATGTTGCTGTACTTTGCTCCGCGGCAAGATTTTAAAGTATTTATGGTTTGAAGGTTATATTTCCTAAGTAAAGCGAGCAAAAGTGCACTTCGAGGGTTTTGTGGGATTGTGCTTGTTATTCGATCTGACTTGAGTTCTGTGTTATAATCCCCCATTACTATTAATGTGCCTTTGTCTATATACATGCAAATTATATTTTTCTAGTTCTTCGAGACAATTTCTGTATACATGCATGGGGTGATTTCCGCATGGCATATAAATCTGAAGAAGGAAAATGTATGTTTCCGGTTTTATCATAATTTGGATGCCAATAAAGTATTTTGAAACAATATCTAATGGTGTAATATATGAATTCCATTTCTTATGCCATAACATTGCCAGACCTCCTTTCCCCACCCTTCTTAAAGATGGCATATCAAGGTCAGGGTCCGAAACAGAGAAACTTATATAGTTGTTATTGATACTGTCTAAAAAATGGAGGTCTTTTCTGTATAACCAGTGTTCTGATATACCAAAAATATCTATATTCTCTTTTATTAGTAAGTCACACAAATAACTTGCGCCTGAGATGATTCCAGTTGAATTCCAGGTCGCAATTTTCAAATTATCTTTAAAGTTGTCAAGACACATGTTAGTCTACAACATGCTCTAACACGGAGTATGTGTTGTATTGATTATAATTGTATTTGTTTCCCTCCCAGTAGGCTTCATCATTGCAGTGGAGGGGCGGATCACACTTAGGTGAAGGGATGGGCATTGACTGTGTAAGGGGTAGTTCGGGTCTGTGATTAGTATGTTGCTTCGGGCTTGGCATTGACACCGGTTTACAGCTACCATGTTTGGTATCTTTTTCGAATTGATCAGGGTTAAATGGGCAAGACTTGTTTTTAAAGGCGGTACCCGTGCCTTTACATACATCTGCATACGAGACCTTGCGCTTTGTCTGGCTATCAGATCTTGTGGTTACGATAGTTGGTACCCTTACAGCTAGATTTATTGATATAATCTGAGTAATTGCAAGATGACTATAATTCGGTACTGTAAATTTCAAGAAAATTCAAGTTGTTCATGACAACAATCTATCTAAACTGCAAAGATTGAGACTTGTCATGAATGATGATTTTGATTTTCCAGTGATTATGTAAACACTACAGTAGTAGGCTTATCAGAAAACAACTCAAATGGAATGTTATCAGATAATTATTGTTGGACTACTGTAGACTGATGTGTGGACTGATCTATGATACCTAAAAGTAATCAGAGTTTCAAAATAGCATTGTGTAACAAACAATTCATCCACGAATATATCAATTGTCACTTGTTCTTTGTGACAGATCGTTACGAAACGTTGTATAGGACCAAAAGAGGTTACAAAGGATAACGTTTGACAAGGTTAGGAATAGTAACGTTTAAATTAAGCGCATTTTCGAAAACAGTTAAACTTTAAATTAAATGAGAAAAGAATATACCAGTTTTGGAGAATCTGGGGCTGCAGTTTCGTGTTCTTCAAAGCAGCTGTTACTCTGAGAGATGACCGAAACATCTTTTCAAGTGTGCGTCGTACAACTCGTCGCGATCTGTCAGTCACCGGGGATGAACAATTACTGTTTACGTCACTTCCGGTTAAGGGACTCTCTCAAAATAAATTTAACTTTAACTTAGTTAATTTCTGTACGAGCAATTACACGGTCATCCGGAGTCTTAAAATAGTGGGACATGGAAATGTGAAAAATCTTAGTAAATACACAGTCTTTGTATCTGAAATACCCCCTTTTAATTAAAAAATCGTGAAAAGATAAAACTTTTTGGAGTGGCACCAATAAAAGCCATTATCTTTAACTGACTTTGAACAAACCAGCAATTCGACACTGCTGCAATGGGAAGATACTGCAGTACAGGATATGATTTAAACATATTTTATTGCCAAAAAAGACATATACATGTACATGTAATACTTGTAAACAGTTACAATACAATGACATGACATATTTGGCAAAAGGGTTGACCCACAAGTTCTCTCAACATTAGCAACGGGTCTTCCCTGATGCAATAAATTACAAAAACATATTAGGTTATAGGAAAGAAATAATTTATGAACTATTTAAATAATGTCATGCAAAACTTATACATGTACTAATTGTTTAAGATCATTATGATCGGCACTTGAAACTTTATGTATATACACTCACCCTGAAAAACACAATATTTAAAGCTAATTATTTGAGTGCATTAATTGTTGGAAATCACTAAAATACCTAAATGTTATATATTGTACATGTATCTAGACTTAGTAATTGTTACAAATTCTTTGAGATGCTCGGGAAGATATTAATTTATATTTGATGGGCATTGTCTTTTTAATTTAGTTCAAATTTCACAAACTTCAGTTATGAATTATATATGTAAAGTATGTGATTTGCTTGGAACGAATTTTACTTAATCCATACCTAGTCAGAATACATTATTATATCAAATGATGTATTAATTAAGAGTATGTTCATGATCTTATTTATTTCCCTTTTGTTTAGAATGTAAACTTCTGTTGCTTTAAGTACTGTCAGTGGGGATCATACAGCAAGAAATAAAGAAGTAGGATTCCGGTGAATTTTACCAGGATATTGTTAACATGACTGACGTCTGCATGCTGACGTCACCATCCCATTCTGTTAATTTGAATGTTTCTTCTCACGTCAACATTATTTTATTATAATTCTGAGGTTATCTGACAAGTAACGTAACGTTCTAATTGACTATTTACGTTTATCACACACCTGCGCCGATTTTGCGACTCCGTAAAAATGATATTGATGTTTTCTTATATGGAAGTACTTGTTAGTTTCAGGAAGCGGGCTCGAATGTGATTAGTAGTTATATAAGCAAACTGATCAGCACGTAATTAACGCTACATGCATGACTTACATTAAGAAGATCTGGCTGAACTTATGTCAGATTGCCTTACAAAGTGCAACACCTTGTTTCATAATCGTGCTTTAAATATATGTTCAAAAGTAACCCCCACCCACACGCCGCCTCTTAAAAAGTCTGTTCCTAGTTATTGCAAACATCAGATTATAGATTATTACTCATAATTTTACAGCACGGAAGTAGCAACGTTGGTGGAAGCTCACAAAACGGCGTGTCCGACAGTCTTCCAGTACAGCACTATCTGTATGACCAGATTGGCAGACTTTATATACCCTCTCATTGCAAGTACTACAGTTCAGGTATATCACATACCAACGCCGCTTTGGCGACTCCTTAAAATGGTATTGTACGGTCGTCCATAGATTTTGACGTGACGTCATTTGCGTTATACAAACAGTGAAAAGACGCGCTAACTGCTAGCATTACACTATAGGCACATCAATGGAAGTTTCTATTTTTGTTATAAATAGAAGATTATATTCGTGCAGGTTCATTACTAGAGGCTTACATAATTTAGTTTCATTCAACTTGTTCAATAAATTCAGTATTGAACCAACACTCAGTAGTGTGAAGATTTATATACTGCACATTCTTCACACGCCATCTATGTGTGTGTGCCATCTTCACACGCCATTCTCACGCCATCAGCCTTAAATCAAAATATTTACTTTAAATATATTGTTAGTGTCCCGTTTTTTTGTCGTTCAATTGAAAAGCTGTATTTCTGAAACAATGTGTGTTAATTTTCTTAGAGTCCAACGTTAATTATTTGTCATCCAATAAAAATGCTGTATTTCTTAAAAATAGTGCGTTAATTTTCATATAGAAGACTATATTCACCGGCCATATCCAGTAATGCAAGAATGTGCAATTATCGTAAAAGTAACGCCGAATCTGTGCAACGCTATTGCAAAAACGAATAACACAGTAAGTAAACGAACTAAAATATTTCATTCTAAATCAAATATGTAAATAAAACATCTACATCTACATTATACTGCTTCAAAATCGCAATCGATTACACTGACCAGGCGCGCTGTCCGGGAATAGCTGTTAAAAACAAATATGTTAAGTGCAAATTTATAGACATAAGGTAAAAGCAAGTTAAAAAGAACTACAAAAATCTGGAAACAATTTTAAAAAAAAGTGATCCCTCGGCAGCATTAATCACAACAAATTACTTGAAAATTGCAGGCTCAGTTTGATTGAGTCTGTACATGAGGGATAATGAATAAGGGTAACACCCCTCACGCCCCCTGGCACCAACTTGAGCGGTACTCAATTCTCAACACTAACAATGTAATAGTGCTGGCATCAATGATCCCGAAAGATAAGATAATATCCATATAGATCTAGTCTATATACATAAAAATTTTTTTTTTTCACTGTTATATTTTTTATAGGGGCAATACGTAAAGCAGGTTATTTATTTTTTTAAAATGGGACCCTATATGGGTTTTTAAATTTGCATAAAAAAAAAGGGTTTTAAACAAAAATTTTTAAATAGGTAACTCAATGCCATTATAGACCTTTGGGGAAACAAATTTTAATGTTGTTTACAACGGAAAGGAACAGGATTTAGACACACCAAGTAAATTGACACTGTTGAAATGGTCCCTTTTCTAGACTGATTCCAAATAAATTATTACAAAACAATGACTTTCAGTATGAAGACGAAAATGCAGTCCATTGTCAATAATGGCGACATCGATTTCACCCATGGATAGATTGCAGCAGTTAGAAAGCATTGAAAAGGAAATTTCAACTGCTATTTCAAATTCAGGTTGAAATAATAATATATATACCAAATAGAACTATCTTGAATCGAATCTTTGTGCTCGAATGCTAAACAATTATTCGTACACAATATTTTACGTACCATTTTAAACATATATGCCATAATTTTTTGGACTCATTTCCGGGACACTTTTCATTCGGAAGTGAGGCATTGGTCAGCAATCATTTTTTAAAAAAAAATTACATAGCACTCTACATTTTACATACAAACCTATAATATGAAAAAGACAAAGCCTCAAAACTTGTTTTCCGCTATTTTAATAACGTTTAAAAAAGTCCCTAAAATATCATAATTTCATAAAGATAACAACGTACGCTTTCCTTTGATGTGAGACGTTTTGATGTGAGACGACTGGAATGAGTTTCGGCACTGTTTTGCGCTTTCATTTTCATACCGAGAACCAAAACCCCGCAGCGGTTACTTCCCCTAATCAGTACAGAAACCAAATCAAGAAGACTGACGGAAAGGGCCGAGTAGTTGCGATTGAATTTCTTTTTCCCAGCGATTTTCCCGCTGTATTATAAATTTACGGGAAACATTCCAGTCGTCATGAATTCGGAAAGAAGCATGTGACACGGTTAGGAAAATGTAATTAAATGTGCAAAGCTTGGAAGAAAGGTACGATCTGAAAATAACATGCATTTATTTATTAAAGGAATATTTGCATAGACTGATTTACACCAGACAGGGTTAGAATTTAGCAATATTTTCTACTTGCAGATTTTTGCAAGTGATCAAATGTTTAACTGGCAATATGAGGTAGTCAACTAGCATTTCCATGTTCACGTATTTTATTATTATTTTTATAGACAATGACAATGTATTTTGAACATCTGATATGACAAATGATAATAAGCTTGAATGTCTATTGAATATCAGAAACATCTTCATCACTAGTAAACACAGATCTCTTCTTGTAACGAAACAATAACATTTCAACACATTAGTTATAAATGATAAACAATTGTTTAGGGCTCAGATTAGATATACCACAGTGTAAGAAATTAGGATCTGAATCGACTAGGTTGGTTGGACTACCAGATTGGAATATTCACTAGCCCAAAAGACATTTCACTAGCATGATTCATTTATTTAAAACAGTTGTTTATATTGCCTCTGAAAATACAGTAGCCTGGTCGGGCTTGTTACTGTGAAAAGTTGGTAGCCCAAGGTCAGGGGCTATAGGACTACTGCTAATTTCACACACTGATACCAGAGGAACACCCACTGGTGACAAGACAATGTACAGTAATAAACTTGTTCATGTAATGTAATTTCTTAGGACCTTCATTAATTTTAGCATATTTTGTACTTGATTACACCAACAGCCTGGAAACTCAGAGGAACTGATCTACTTAAATAAATATTTCTGCTTAAAAGTAACCACTTTACAGAAGAGTGCTAAGCATTTACATTTGACCCTGATAAAACAACATGGATTTTCTAACCAATAATGTTTGGCTGTTATAAATAGTCCATCAAAATATAGTCACAGAAAAAAATAAATAGAGCAACTTAAGTTTTTAAGATAAACGTCATCAGTTACTGCATCTGAAACAGAATGCATCATCAGTTTCTGCAGCTGGCAGTTGCGAAGCATCATCATCAGCTCAGAAGATAACAATTATGTAAACGTCCAAAATGAACAGTCACTTGCAAATAAATGCCAGCTTGAGTAATTTTTACTGGCATTATTAGATTTTAACTGGCATTTTGCCAGTATGCCAGCTTAAATTCGAACCCTGCCAGAAATAAATGGCATGCAATAACATAAATATCTGAAATATATGTAGGTCAGTTGTGTTTACATTTCGAAGCTTGGTATCTTTAGGAAATTGAAGCGTTGGTAAAAAATTGACTTTTCTATAACGTTATGAAATTCGGTTGAAACTTGTTCACGTGTTAGTCACTTAACCGTCTCATACTAATATAAGCAAAAATTTAAAACTTATTCTTGTAATAGATAATACTTTTACTTTTTTATATTCAGGGGCGGAAAAGGGCGGGGTCTATTCTCCAAGTGTCTGTGGAACAAAAGACAGAATTTCAATAATTTTTAACAGTTTTTCTATCTTTTTTAAGTATTTAGGCATCGTAAATTCAATCTTTCACAGAATTGATTAAAGCTATGTTAATTAAGGACAATAAGCCATGTCGTTTACCTGAAACATTCGCTAAACCTTGTAGATTTCATCACCTCATAATTAACGGTAATTTTCACGGTGTTTGACCACTAATTACTGCCTGCAGGCAGATTAAATTTATACTGGCCAGTTGTTAATTACAGTGTATGACATCTTCGCTCAGGAAGCCAGAAGGGGTAAACAATTAATCTTTTAATTGATCAAAACTATTGCCGATAATTGTTTGTTGGAAGGGGCAAATAGATGTACCAATCTAAGGATTAGTGTCACCATTGCATTGCTGTAAGGGGATAATCGTTCGTTATTAGTGTTCTAGACTAGTTTATAAAAACTTGACAATAAAATTATAATTATAAAAATGTAAAATTTTTTGCTTGAAAGTAAATTATTTTAGATTTTTTTTTACCAGAACATTAATTATCTCCGGGATACCTCCGGGACAGACACCTTATTTCCGGGATCTCCCGGACATCAGGGACATTATGGCATGTATGTTTTAAGACAAAAATTAAATTACATGTATGAATCTTCTTAATCAGGCTGGTGAAAATGCCTGATCGGACTTACGGACATAAAAAATCATATTTCTAGAAAAAAAAATAAAGAGATTTCTTTAAACTTTATTTGTTTATTGAACATAATGTATAACATAAACAGAAAGAATAGTTTTTGGTAGCTGTCACTTTTGTGAGAACCTTATGTTCTTGGGCATGCTATTGATGTCACAGACTGCATTATTATGCTAGGATATTTTCTACTTTCAGGTAAAGCATTAGAGGAATTAGCAAAGGAGAAACCCCAAATGAAAACTGTTGAAACACATACAACAGGCTTCATAAAAACTCTAGAAAGTGTTGAAGCTGGTCTTATGAAACAGATTCAGTACCTGACTCAAGTTTCTACAGGTACAAGACAAGAAATGTTTCACATGGAGTATTACAAACAAGAAAAATTCATAAACTCCTTTATAAACCATGTGCTGATTATTTTTAAAACTGTGGAATTTTTACTGTCAGGCTGCTAAAATTATATATATATCAATGTTGTTACTTAAGGCTAGCTACCTGTACACCATCTGCCACTCGTCTGGTTGCACCATAAAATTTTTTTACTGGATGTGTCCGGCATAAAATATCAGACTACTAAATTTATTCACCCTGTTAGACTGATGCAAAAGTGCAGCTGAATAATTGAATATAGAAATGTTTTGCCTGTTGTGTCAAATTACATGCACTAAAATATTTCAACTTTCATGTTGAACTTTTCATGTGTTTCACTTTTCTTGAATTATTTAAAATTTTAAATTAATTAAAATGCAAATGTCTTTTCTGACCTGACTTTAATGACCTCTTGTTTTCTATATACCACTGTTACAATTTAGAGTTAAATCGTTTTTTTATTCATGTGTTATTTCGGGTTTTGTATTATTTAATATTCAATTATTTGTGTTTAATAGGTCAGCCACATGAGGGTTCCTGCTACGCTGCACAGAAAGATTTGTTGATGGCATATCACCGTAAAGCTCATGTTCAAAGCCGTCTCGAGGAGTTAGAAAAAATTCACTCTGAACAAAGACCTAAGCATCTGCAGCTTTCTAAAAGCTATTCACTACCTCCAATGGCACATGGTGCCCCTGGTTCAACAGGAAATCAATGATATATTCATAGGATATGAATGTTTCAGACTGTTAGACTTTTGAGATCAGTTTTTGAATAAAAGGTCAAAAGTGATCTTTGATATAATTGAAATACTGACTGCAAAGAGGGAATATACATTATGGAAGTTCATGATATAAGGTGTTTTCAGCATTGTGATCGTGAAAAGAACATCCTGTGTTTTAACGTTCCATTGATATGCCCTCTTTGTGACAAGGATTTGACTAAATCGAGGCTTAGGATCCCTCCCTATATCATTGAGGCGCCATTTATCATGGCAGACAATTCATCCTGTAGTCTGGTTATAAAACCAACTGTTGGACACTTTTTATCAGACTTTACAGATAGCTCGAATCTTCATATCGGATTGACAGATTCCGACGGAAAGGTGCATGAGTTTGATGAGAGAGGTATAACAGTTGGGGACGGATCTTGGACACATTGTTTATGTGTAAATATACTCGATGATAATGATCAGCTTGAGGAAGAATGGGACACCAGTCTTGTAAAGTGTATTAATGACAGACTGTGGAAGAAAGAGTTCTATCAGGAGAACTCTCATAATTGTTACGATTTTGTGGTACGTTTTCTACGACATTTAGGATTAGCCAGGCATTATTCATGTCTTGTTGATAGGTCAATATTTTGTGAGAAGATGATAGTGCCTGTGACACATAGAGCAGGGAAATATATTAGTCTATACAGACAAATACAAAAATCTGGTCTTGTTATACAGAAAGTGGGGTGTCCAGGATAAAAAAAATAAACTGCTTATCAAAAAGTGAATTATGAATTCTAAAAAGGAAACCCCTTTCAACTTTAATAGACAATTGTAAATATCACTGTGTAAATGACTATTTGTACTGTTTATAAATTGATACAATTTTACTGCAAATACTGCCACAGTTATCATATCAAATAAAGGCTTAAAGTTTATTTAACTTTTATCTTTCTACCACATATTTATTGTGCTAGCAGCTAACATGTAATTTCATTGCTGTTTACAATTTACTGTAGGTTTGTAACAAAAATTTCTTTCAATTTGGATCATGATGCTTATAAATATTTCATATACAGCTAATTATTCATATATGGCTCGGGATTTTATCTCTATAAAGAAGAAAATAACCAGTGTAAAATAACCAGGTAAACAATGCTCAGGCTGATCTTTTTCCTTAAAATTTTCATAAAATGAGGGTATTGTGCAGTATTATAAATATATGATAGATATATTTGACTGGTAATATGATCTTGTTGTTTGTTAGTATTCTATATAACCATTTGTAATTGGACATATAACCTGTCAAAAATCTAAATAGCCAAGCAGCTGGTATTATGTATGATTTATTCAACTGTGCATTCATTTATCATTTTCATTTTTAGCTTGTCTGTTTTGAAGAAAAAATGGAGTTATTATGATCGCTGTAGGGTCATTGTCATACAAAAACTTTAATGTAGCCCATTATTCAAACATTTTAAAAGATACCAGCACCAAACTTGGGACACTTCCTTATCAGGACAAAGTGTAGCTGTAAGCTAAAGGGCAATAAGCCTGAAAGCTACATTTTTGAAGTTTCGTCCCTTCTTAATTTTGAATTTTTGTAAAAATTGCCTATTTAATAAGTAGAATAATTTTAATACTATGAAAGATATTAACATAAAACTTGAAATAATTCTTCATAATGACAAGGCACAGTTGTAAGACAAGGAACATTATTCTGAAAGCTAAACTTTTGGAGTAATGTCCCTTGTTAACTTACAATTTGTAATGTTTTCTAAACTTTAAAATCAACATGAAACTTGTAATAGTTGATTATTATGACATTGCACAGTTGTAAGATCAGGGTCATTATCCGTAAAGCAAAACTTTTATGAGTCATATCCCTTTTTAACTTCTTGATAAATTTGGTTACTAATAATCATTGCCCTCAATAGATCAACATTTACATGGCATGTGGGTCTCATTTATCCCAACACATCAATGTGAACCTCCGTGACATAGATGTTGCCCAAATTCTTTCTCCTTTCCCATTTGTCCATGCTAGCTGAACTTCATGAAATATATTCACTGATGATGTATCAGTTTATTGGAATATGAAGGGACAATACACATCATCCAGACTATATATGGAGGATATTGAATGAGTGTAGGTTAATTGTTTTATTCAAGGAGTTCAATAAATTTAGTATTAAATCTACACAAATATAATATTCTATTTATCACATTTTCGAAATAAGAGCAGTTTAAACAAATTAGTCATTTTTCATTGACACACCTATATTGTAACACTAAGAGAGCACTTTAAACGCTATGTTTGTATATAACGCAAATGATGTCACATCAAAGTGTTACTACACTAGTGTCATATTGTTTTTACTAAATGGCTTTATTACACTCCTGTGCCTTGATTTATGTGAAAATAAAGGCTTTAAGGATAACTAAACAAACATCCTCATTAATCCACTTTTTATTAAAGAATAATAAATTTGTTATACTATTATCACAGAATAAAAGAATTCAGCAAATAAAAAAAACAGCAATGAAAGAAATATACAAGGTATAAATTTGGTTTCTTTGGAAAACAAGTGGCAAAAAAATAGTCTTAACAACTAGCATACAGGAGAGGAAATAATATACACCTAATTCCTTTAAGGGGTACGAAATTAGTTATTTAAACTGAACATTAAAATAATGAACAATATAGACCATGCAATAATATCAATTCTAATACACTTCACATTAGAAATCAGTCAAGTGCATTATTATACATAATATACACAGCATAAAAAAGGAATGCTTAAACGCCATAATTATGATGTCAGATATGACATCAATAAACCAAAATGACGTCTAGGAAAATAATTCTCTGTTCAATGTAATTCAACATTACTTTATCACTTCAACTTTTTATAAGCATGATAGAATGTAACAGATATTTACTTTTCTTTTGTTTTAGTATGATAATGCACAGTTTATCGTTCAAATGCTTTGCATTGAATCACTTGGGCCTACTATATTTCTACACATATGAACTCTAACCTGCATTATTCTACAACAACAAACTAAAAAATTGATATCTATTTCTTAAACAATACATTAAACAAGAGCTGTCACAGGAGACAGCGAAGCTCCACTAACAAAATACTGGACGCAGTAAGGAAGATAAAACTATGAAAAAAAAATCAATTATGTAGAATTATGTATGAAGTTATAGTAAAAAAATAACATTTGTTAACATAAATTCCAAGTATAAGGGGAACAATTCCGGAAATAGTCATGCTAGAGTTATGAACTTTGTCACACAACATGTGGTAATGATAAGAAATATATATTTGAAGTTTGAAGTAGATACCTTTAAACGTAAAGAAGTTACAATAATGTTAAAGAAAATCCTAAATTCAAGAGAGATAAATCTGAAAATATTGCTTCAAGAGTTATGAACCTTGTCACATAAAATGTCATTGATGATTAGGAATAAGTTATATAGTCGAGCTAAACTGATACGTATTTCCTAAATAAAGAACTTGGAGTGAAAAATTTGCAAATCTAATATATAAATAAACAGTTCTTTACAATAAACAATAGTTTCATATGAAGCTCTAAATATTATTTTTCACATTTCATTTGAGTAAATCATGTATACAAACTTTTTTCATCCATTAGCAAGGTTAAATTTCGTATAATAAAGGAAAATAAACAAATATCCTAGTAACATGCACCAAAACTTACCATGATTGTAAAATAATATACTGACCTGACATGTTTGGTTTACTATATTACTAAATAACCTGTCACCTACTAAGTTCACTAAGTTCCAAAGAACAAACAATAATTTCTGCAGAATTTATCATCTACAAAATTATCACTTCATACAAATTGCATGCACAGAAAAAGAGGTAAATATAAGCGGAAAAAATTTAATGTATAGGCCAAACAAATGAAAAAAAATGTTATGTAATATGCTTGTATATATTCCAATAACATACAAAATACATGTAGTTCAACAAAAATTACAGTAACAATGGTTCAATGAAGGTATAGGGCATTCAAAGTTGTCACAGTTCATTTTTTCACCTTAATATCATTCCCCACTGTACTACTAGCTAACACAGAGGGCAGTATTGACATTTGTGAAGAACTTCAAGGAGAAGAAACAGCATCAGGTTACAAACATAAGGTTAACTTTCTGTTTGTTTGTTGTTGCTTTTTGTTGGGCTACTTGATGTTTTTCTTTTATAAAATAATCCATTTAATGTTTTAATAAAAACACAATTGTGGTTTTTATATAACTCAAAGAGTACTGTGATATTTCTGGCATTTTCTAATTTAAAAAATATTTCATAAAATTAAATTGAGACTATAATACATTAATCTGCTGGCAATTATTTCATGATTAAAAATTAACAGAAAAGTGATTGTTTTTTAAAAATCATATTAGCATCAATATTATCAGGGCTTCAATTAAACACTAGCAATATGTAATATTTACAGAATTCTCATTCTTTATCAAACTCAGAAATTAAAAAAGAAGTTTTATATTTTACTGAATGTACTGTAGTTTTGATTAACATTTAAAGAACAAATATGTGTGGAAAAAAAATGTACTAGTATTTAGAAATAAACATCATTAAAACTATTTGCGTATGTAATAAATACTAATAAAAAATATAAACATTGTGAGCAACATACATGACATAAACATGAATAATACATTTAGCCTGCATTGTATTTGAGACAGTCCATTATAGTATTTTTAAATTTTTCAAAATCTAGCATCCAACAATTTAAAGTATTTAACCCATTACTTCATGAGCATTTTGTGAAAAATGGCTGTTTTCATTGAAAAGTCTCCCGTTACAAGTTCAAATTGCTATAATACTATAAAAACTGCTTCAACACTAATCAAACTTGGCACAAATGTTGACTGGACCATTGCCCTTGCAACAACATGCTCAGGCTAAAATTTTCTGTTACCATGGCAACGAGGGGACATCTCAAAATTGCCAAAAATCACTATTTTGCGTTGATTTTTACCATCAAAATTGATTTCAAAGTGCTGCAACTTCTCAATGGATTGAGATAGAGTCAAATGCTTTTCAGCGTTGGTTACACGTTACCTTATGATCAATCTGGGGTCATTTATAGCCTCTCACAAGTCCAAAATTTTCTTGGCGATGAGGGGGACTCCGCCCCCCCTTCAAATCCCCCAAACAGGCACATCCCCCTTCTGGCAACCCCCTGATGTAACTTTTGGTTTGGGGGCCGCGCCGAAAAAGAGGTCACTTTTTTTAACAACATTTCTCAAACAAAAACAAGTGTTGGGGGCCTAAATAAGACATTTTTTTCATCATTTGAGACAACAAAAACGGGAGGGGGGGGGGGGGGGAAGGGGGAAAAGGCGTTAAAAGGCGTGTATATAACGTAATGGGTTAAATTCTCAAAATCCAACAATATAAAGTGTGACATTATGCCCATCAAAGTGCAAAATTGTTGAGTGCAATGGTAAATGTCATAATTACATTTTGCCATAATTGGGTTCAACTATATATTTTACTATTCAAAAATAATAATCCATTTGACCCACAAATTTTTTTTAGACTTAGGTAGTTTTATATCTTATTCTTAACATTTTTCAATTTTAATTATTGGTCAATCACCATTATAAAAGTCAATCTTTTTAGTTACATTATTTATTCAGAATTGATAATGTCACTTTAAAATCCAGCTAGACATGAATCAAGCTGGTTTGACTACCGGCGACCTGTCAGTTACTATTTATGCTCACATTGAAACTGGCGACATGTCAGTTACTATTTATGCTCACACTTAAACCAGCGACATGTCAGTTACTATTTATGCTCACATTGAAACCGAGTTAAACTAAGCCTTTTTGTGCTGAAATCTAGTGTGCTCAAAAACTTGGAGACGAAAAAAA